GGCAGACTAGCACTTGCCTGACAGTAGAGCAGCCTACCAATTTGTAAATATCCTCCTTCATTCATTATTTAGAGCGTTATTATGTGCATGCTAAGCTGCTACTTTGCGAATAAGCTAACAAAACTTTAATAAAAATTAAATAAAGTACAAAAATACCTGTATTAAGAATATTTTTCTCATAATTATTTCAAACATTACGCCCCAGTTTAATCAAATAAATTTTAAGTAAGTAGCAAGTAATGTGTTAACTTAAGAGATTTCGTTCAAAAAATACAACCTGTAAGCGTTCTCAGCGGGTAACAAGTTCCCTTTTCAAGTCCGAAATAGTTAATTTTAAGCTGGAAAGAATCCACACTCCGCTGCAAATTTGAGCACTTCACATGTTCTTCAAATAATTTTATTTTCTAAGCCACGGAGAAGTTTAACAGCTTTCCAAATGTATTGCACTATCAGCACTTAAAATAGCATAAAAGAAATTAAGTTTCTCAGATTTAAGGCTTTAAAGCTATGCTTATATTATTATGCCGTGGTGTATGTCTGCGCGCGCGCGTGTGTGTGTATTGGTCTTGTATGTTGTGGTTCTTATCCAAATTTGTTAATTAAGGGAGAACTGTAGCATGCACACTTGCAATATAAATTTCAGTACAGTGTATTATATCGATTGAGTTCGTCAATCCTCATAAAAAAGAACTAACACATTGGCTACAATCTTTAGGTGGGGGGGGGGGGGACATTAATTATGTGCACTACAATCAGGGGATCCGGCTAAATCTAACCAAATCCCATATTTGACTAAGTAATAAAGCGACAGAGAGACACTTGAAACAAGGGATGGACGGCAACATTTTACAAATACATCTCAATGTGCCAAGTGTTGCAACTATGGTAAGTACGAGGCTATTTTTAATGGCGACCATGTTCTGCAGTGGACTTTTTATGGGCTGTAATGAATAAATGTCCCGGATTTGAAACAAATGCAAATAAAATGAATATAACGTGAGGGAGCATAGGGAAATAGGTCCTAATACATCTCACCAAGGGGAGGTCCACATTTAAAAAGAAATGTAATTAATGGACGAGACGAGAGGCGTATTTAATATTTTTATTTTCGCATTTGTAGCAGTAAAGCGACACGGTATTATAGAAGTTGTGACAATTTACTTTTCAGTAATTAAAATTAACTAATAATGTAAGTAGTAGAAATTTAAAACATTAAAAACAATTATAGCCACGTATTATATTCGGCTCTCTACAATATGAAGCAGAAAGTAACAAAAGGTTATCAAGTTAAAATATTCAAGAAATATTGTATATTTATTGTAGAAAACATAAAATAAAAATTATTTAACTTTTATTCCAATTACGTACAATATTCATTTTAATTAAAAAAAAAAAACGCCTTCCCTCCATGCTTTAAAAGTAACCTATGACGGGGATAACATATTATATTTGATAGATAAAATCCCAAACAAATAAAGAGAAAAAAATTATGATTATATAAAAATATGAAATAATAGTGAAAATGAATTTTATACTGGAGTGGTGTATCTATCTACATTATTAATGAAATCTCATTCATTTTTAAATGTCTAAATGTATGTTATGACGAAAAAGAACCTCTATTACCGTATACCGTATTCTCTGTAACAACAAAGTTCTTCAAAGTTACTTATGAGAATAGAAGAGATATTTTAACGGGTAACAAAGGACATTGATCATAAATACCTATTGATGATATACACACGTATGATAGCTATATAATTTGTTGTAAATGATTTACGTATAAAATATTACACTCGCACATTTTATAATCTCGTAAAAAATATACGAAGTACATAGTATCACTTTATTCTTACATCCGGAGCCGTATTTGAATAACGACACCAATAAAGTACGAGTGGCTGAGTCAGAAAATGTGACTGCGGTTTCTAAAAATCATGATATTATCTAATAAAATGTTTACACTTATAAAATGATAAAATAATTTTACGTAATTCTAGATATCATATTTTAAGTTAAAGAAATATTGTTATGATAATTAATTGGTAACGGTTTTAATACGGCCTTTACTTTTGATTGGCTAGCAGTTTAGTAAGCAACTAAGTAAGACATGGCCATGTTACTGATCAAATAAACCCCAAAAATCGAAATGATTTTGTGTCCGTCACTCGCATTTAATATCAATTGGTGTAACCATCATTTAGAATGCAAGTGATTTTTTGGGCAAATGGTTCTTAAACGAACAATGTATGACGACATCGGAATAATGTCCTTTAAATGTAATTTATAGGCTTGGTGGTGAAATAAATTGCAATCAATTGAACTTAGAACTAAATTATTTATTAATGAAAATGTATCCATTTATTTTAAGAAATTACAGTTATCACGCCTAATTTACTATAAATTATTATTTAGTTGCTAAATTTCACTTGCACACTTATTTCATATCTTGCAAACAAAGTAACACTCACAGTACAGAACTCTGACCAGACTGACAGAACTTTAACTTTTTGACAATTTTCAGTACACAAAGCTTGTTTTGTTTTACATAGTTAGATATAAAAGTGACAAAAGAAATACCTCCCGCACTTAGAAATGATCCGTGCATCTTTTAACATTTTAATTTGCGATATAATTCTGATTTCTAAAATCTAGACCACACGCGTTAATGTCAATTTAACAATACGGGATTATTTGTCACATTACTTTAATTTAGTTCTGAAATAATCTATAACTAACCTATCAACATCAATATTTTTGTTATTTGTAATAAAATTAATAAGAACAATTTAATTTGTTCATAAAGTGAGAAACCGGAAAACACGATAAAAAAATTATAAACAAAATTTACAAAAAAGAAATTGGAAGTTCTTTTGCTATGGTTTTAAAACATGCCTTTAATAATTTAAAATCTGAAATTATTGCATTTTGCAAGATTTAAAAGTCATTCAAATATCTTCCTGATAAAACATTTAATAAAGTCGCGTACAAGAATGAAGAATGAGTTTTAAAACATAATATATATAACCGATGCTTACGCGGCCAGTAATCAAAAATCTTAATATGAACATATTAATAATATCTTACTATTAATTAACCTAAATTACCAAAAGAGACTTTGAGGCAATCGAAATTCTTTAAACAATCACTTATTTAAACAATATTAATAGAAGGTAGCAAGGAATTTATAATTCTTTTTTACGCCAACACGTACAAGCGCCTTAGCGTAGTAACAATCCACATAACACTGGAAAGGGCCAGTTCTAAAAGTCAATACTGTTGCGAAATGATTATGATGAATTTATTAGATTATACCTAGTGTACCAATCTTTTTGTTCACCAACAAATATCTTGAAGTAAAAACATTAAAAATATTGTAAGTTGCAACAAAAATTTGTTTTTATAATTTAAAGTTATATATTCTTCAATTAGCACTTTCTTACATGGTAATCCAGCTTATCACTCCGTCAAGACTACAAAAATTTTTAAAATATCCAGATCTTACAATCTTTCTTAATAAATTGCAGAATAAAATTAAATTTTGCTAATTAATAAGTCCTAAGTCTAATTTCCAAAAAGTCAGATATCTGTAAATATCAGTTAAAACTGATTGACCTTAATAAAACTCAAAAAAAATTTAGAGATGTAACGATTCCGATACCGACACCGATATATCGGGCGATATAAGCGGCAGACCGATATATCGGCATCGCCTATTATATACAACCGATGTGAAAAGTGTGATTTAAGCGCGCGAAACGCACGACTTTCTTGCTCCGCTCAGTTTCCTCAGTGCCGGTTTTCAACTGCAGGTCTCATACAAAATTAGTTACGTAACGTATTACCTGCTAATAATTTTAACAAACTTTGCTTTCTTAACAAAAATATACCAAAAGTTAATTAATTACTGACAACTTAAACTAAACTTAGTTGACTGAAATTACTTTTTTAATTAGCGCTTTGATTGTTTGATAATATTCTTGATTATTCATATAAATAAATGTCTTCTTATCTTATTAATAAATGTTAATTTTGAATAGAACTATTGTTTTGTCATATTTCCTTTTCAAGGTTCAGTCTCTAGTAAATAAAAGTAACTTCTATTCATAACAAAAAAAAATTATTCATTATTTATTTTTTTTATTTCTACTAAGCCACCGATAAATGTATCGGTGTCGGTAGCGCCGATTATTTACTACAATAAATCGGTATCGGTATCGTATCGGCACAATTATATATCATTACATCCCTAAAAAAATTACACTACGCAATTAGAAGAATAAATATGGCGCAAAAGGAATACCTGAATGTTAAATTCTTCAGATGTAGAAATACATAATTGATAATTTTAAATTTATTTCTTACACTAAAACTGACATTTTTGTTATAATAATGGATGATCGTCCATAAAAAACCCGACTTACATGTCATATTTTAAAAAAATACTTGTTTAAAGAATGATTTTAACACCGCCTATAAACACACAAACTTTATTGATTTTGTTATATACTCAGATACGAAACATACATTTTAATAAACGGTTTCAAACTACAAACGAAATTTATTTAATCCTACAGTGATATCATTTAGTACAATTAATAGCTAAGTGTGATTTTATAAATTTTGTATTGGTAAGTAAATTAAATGTACATCAATTTTGCGAAACTGCTTAAAACCTCAAGTGTTATGCTATCTTGAGAGCATCAAAATTTAAAATAAATAAATAACCTCAATTTGTTAAAACTATTTCACCACAGTTTTAAGCGTTTTCACGCTACTGCAATCAATAATAATTAATAACCATTGGTTATCACAAATACATATGTCAAGTTATGCGACGCTATAAGATAAAAAGTTAATGATAAGTAGCTTTAATAGTTATTTTGCAAAATATATTTGTGCCTAACCAATGGCTGGTCACAGGAGTTACTACTGAGAGCATGGTTGTGGTAGTCAGCGGTGTGAATAGCCTGTCAGGCTGTCACATGAAAAGAGATGAATTAAAAGCGACGACGTTTATTAGGATAGTCGTCCATGGAGCGCGGTCCGTCCCACCCGCGGTTCTGCGGCATGTCGTCAAAACCTCCACGTGGCATGTCGTACTGGTCCCTGAAGCCTCCATCCTAAAGTGGGCAATTATAAAAGTGGCCAATATTTCCTTTTTGTAAATAACACTTAATTCCTAGGTTTTAACACAAATTCGCGTAACGTAGGGCTATCTGAGACATTTAAAAACCGATCACAGTTCAAAGAATTCGTGAGCTTTCAAGTAATCAAAATAGTAAAAATGTAACCTTTGAAAGTAAATAACCAACATCAGCATTATCATTCATAATTAATCATCATACTATTTTGTTGCCTTTACGATAAAGCTTTTCACATTGATTAGCTACGAAAAGAAAATCCTAGAGAAAAAAATACGTTTAACGAACACAAAGAAAATTTCCACTTTGAAAAATTCTTAACAGTTTGATGTAGAGTGTCTGGAGATATTTTTATCAAAATCTAGTTAAGAAATTTAAATAATCGCCAATAATAGCGTATAAACTAATAATTATATAGTTCCAGGGTCGGCCTGCCAGCCTGGCCTCTGAAAACCATCATCAGCTTATAATCCAATCCAATGTAGAAATAAATTTAACCAAGTAGAAGATACCATGTTAATTTTTAGGCAGTATATTTTTTTATGCATTTTTGTGTGAAATCCCTAGGATTTTGGGTTGGTAGTCCAAAATGCTTGGATGGCCACTAAGTAATTATTTTGAACTACTATATTCGTGAACGATTGAACAACATCGTATCGTGCAGTCAAAGGTGCGACTGCACCCGAATAATACTGCTAAAAGTATTTCGCTAGCAACCCCATGAAGGGGCAATCTGTACACTTCACATAACGTTCATCTATAGTCAACCAAATCCAAGAAATACCTTTTGACGTTTCACATTAATCATTCCGCAATAACTTTGCGCAAGCGCACTCACACAATTTCAAATAACCTTTTATGTAAATCCGAAGAATTATAACGTTATATTTATTTTATTACAAGGTGTATAGCCCTTCAACTGTTAAACCAAAATTTAGCATTTATTTTATTATCACTAATTTATATTCGAATCTTTCAAAGCAAAATATTAAAAAATAACCAGTATCAATTATTTTACTTGACGTAGTTTCAATAATATGTCGCTATGAACCTTACCGTAGTGTTTGGATTATTAAAATTCATTATTATGCGAATAATCGGCAAAAATATTCAAATAATCGGTAAAAATTATGAAATAATGGAATCATTAATTTTTAAATGTATTATTTGTTTAATAAAATTTTTATTTTTAAGATTCCTTATATTACATGAATCATGAATAAACAAGTTTTTTTTACTTTGTCAACGTAAATTTCTGTAGACAAAAAACTCATATACAAGGCCGCGCTGAAAAAACCACTACCTACGTAATTTCAATCTTATCATTTCGGGAGCTTAATGTGCGTTATTTTGTGATTTTGTGTTTGTCTTCTTAATTTTGTGACTCGGCTTTAACTTTTTGAACTGTTTCTTCTATATTCGTTGAAGCATGTGCTCATGTCACAAAGGATGATTGGGCAAAATTGGTAGAAAATTAGAAGAAAAACTTATATAGAAAAAATAGATTATGGATGACTTTGAAAGAGACATTTATATTGACTGAATTATTGAAAATGAAATGATAATTAATCCAAACTACGACAGCTCAGCTAGTTGTACTGAAAGTTATTGAATAAATTTATTTTTAATCTAGTTTCAATCTTAAATTTTTACAACTGTGCCTCTAGAAATCAGCAGTAACAACAAATACGAAGAAACTGATAAATCTTGTGTTTTAAATTATCCGTTTCTTATTTATTCTGGTATTATTCAAATCAAACTGTAAATGATTACCAACTCTAAATAATCAAGGGAGTCAATACGCTGTAGCTATAATATCTTATCGATCGGCTTGACCGGGTAAGGACCACGTTCCTTACAGAATATGTATGTTTCGTACGGGAAGTGTAGAGCACCAGAGGCTTTTAACTGGAAACGAGGCTTCGATCTTATCTTAGTCTATAGGGCTAATAATGCATTATGATTTTCGATTCTTAATCGAAGATAGATGTAGATGTCTATGGGCCCACAGCATCCATTTACCATCGGGTGGACTGCGGGTACGTTTGCCGTCTTTATTCTATAACTGTAAAGAAATCTGTTGCCTTCTTTTTTGAAACTGGCAGCAGATGTCAGATTACAAACTCCAGTTCTACTCGTTCTGCACAATCATCTTTCACTATCGCGATAATGAAACCAGGTTAATTATTTTTCTGAAAAGCATTCGCAAGGCTGAGTGCACTGATATCGCTTGGTAGATGTCTCAATATTTTATTTTTGAACCATTCATATGCCTTCACGGTGGACTCGGGTTTTCAAGTATGTTTTTTGAGCACACCATAATATATCACTACACAAAATACATATAATAGAACATACGATCAAAATGTTGTTTATTTAATAATGTTTAAAGTAAAAAAATCATTGTGACAATTTAAACATATTTACTAAAAATTTTATTTGACATAATTATGGATATTGCTTCTAATAAATTCACAGTCTTATTCACAAAAAATCTGATAGGTTAATGGAATTGAGCGTTTTTTCATTGCTTGGCGCCTGGCAGTTTGGTAACAAAAATTAGATAATCGAGTGATGGTTCTTCTTTATCTCTGAGATATAAACAAGGCATTATATTTAAGATTAAAACCAAGTTTGAGAAGATTAAAAATAAAATATACAAACTTAGTATGATGTCTGAATAATCAAAGACAATAAGCAACGTCCCTACTGAAGCGTTTCATTTTTTCCGTCTTGTCAATATATATATCTAACGAGCTATACCCGCGACTTAGTCTGCGTTGCTTGATATATTAACAATGTTTTCGTATGTGCGAAGGAAAAAACAACAAAAGGATCACAAGAAAAAATAGACTGTTTACAAATTTTCTTTGTAAACAATGTTATTTGTTGCTATTTGTTGCTTTGAGTTAGTAACGCGAGAGCAAGCGACGTACAGTTAACCGTGTAGAAAAACAGCTGCTAGCTAGCAATGCCGATGATTTCGATGTAAAGAGCCTAACGACTAATCGAAGACTGGCGCGACGCTCATCATACCTAAGTTGTGGAGCGTGCTTTTGTGCACTTGCAAATCTTAACACTGTTGTCCATACAATGGAAGAAGCCAATGTCCAGCAGTAGACTTTCACAGGTTGATAAAAAATGAAATTTAAAAAAAAAACTAGTTTAATAAAACTCACATTTATGTAGTACATAACTAGCGATTTTACATGCATGAAAAATACTAGCTTTTCAATTTAAGCTACAAAATATATGACTAATTACGAAATACTTATGCAGGATGGCTGAGACGGCGAGACCGAGAAGTGTCGGTTGTTCGCGGGTATTTTCACCGTCGCTAATCAAAAAATTACGCGGGTAAGCCGTCCGTCGTTGGGTTGGCCTATATATTTATGTATACTATATATTATATGCTTATTTAATAATAATTACGCTGATTAGAACTTATTTAACATTGGTTAAAGTGTCCTAATATTTTATTAATTTACAAACGTAAATAAATCGGTGACGCCTTCATTGAAGCTATCTGATACATTAGCACCATTGTTCATTCTGATGTAAAATTACATTAGGTAATTAATTAAATAAGAACATTCAACATCAAAGTCCCTCCCCTCCGTAAACGTTGCATGCAGTGCCAGAAAAGCATGGAAACATTTTAAAATAAAAATAAAAATGGATAACACGGAACATTAATTTAATTCAATTCGTGTCAATGTGACATAGAAATATCGAAATATTTTTGTAATATAAGTGACTTGCAACGAATATTCGGCTATTACTCGATATTCGGCTTATTCTGCTACTTTTTTCCTATTAGGCCAATTATCGAATATGTAGATATTATTCGGCCGAATACTTGACTAAGATAATTGGTATAAAAATAGTGATTTATTTTTAATAACGTATGTTTATTATAATCATTAAAGTAATCACTAGTACATAATCAACTTCCATAATTTTCCGAGGACAGACGCTCTGAATAAAAACAACAATATTCTTCCCGGCCGAATAACTTTGCCTAATATTCAGCGATTCGGCCTGGAAGGCCGTAGTATATTCGATATCAGCATCTGGCCGAATATACTATTTCTTGCATGTCTAAATTATAAGTATTTTTAATATTTTCTCATAATATTACAATCAAAACCATTTTCATATTTAAATCCTTTTATTTTATTTATAAGCAAAATTAAAATATCGGTATTTAATAAATATTTTAAAATCACATTATCAACAATTTTGTTCGTTATGTATCGTTATTTTGTTGTTATATCGTTATATATTTTGTATAAGTTGGATAGATAATATTTTGTTTATAGTCTAGTAATCTATCTCAAGGTGTTTTCAATTCTGTAAAGTTCAGTTTTATTTTATAAAACAAATTAAAACGTTTGAGAAACTGTATTCTACCTTAAAATAAATGACCATCTTTTCAATTTGTTCGTTGTTATATTTTGTATCAATGAGCGATATCTCGGAAACGGCATAACTGATAAAAAGGAATGATTTAAATCGGTTCAGCCGTTTCCGAGATATCGTTGATCATACAGAAAAAAAAACAGTAAAAATGAAATTACCTCAAAATTATAAATAAAACAAGGTTACATACTTATTTATTAATAAAGCTACTCTTATGAGCAAAGAGTAATGCATGTGTGCATCTGTATTTCAACATTAGCATGTTTAAGCCTTTTTGACTTCCCTTTGCCTATCAAAATCGTTCCAGATCACTTATTATAATAAGAAAAATCAATGTGCAACAGACAAAGATAAAATTTATACAGCTTTTGCAGATTGTCTCAAATAGCCCTCTGGGTTTTATAAGTAGCCTCATGTTACGTTATAAATTTTCAGTTAAAAAAAAAATTAAAACAACAATTTTTACATTCCTTATATTTTTTTGCAAATAGTAATGCTTAGAATCTTTCTACAAACCTGAATTATAATTGATCCATTCACACAGATATTTAAAATAAATAAACTTATGCAACTGCAAAAATATTCAGTTCATATATATTGGCAGTTAGTTTGTTTTGGTCAAGTTTGTTTATGACATTGTCATAAAAACAATAGTGTAATTGAGATCATATCGGAAATTATTATGTGTAAAACATATTCATATCCGTGCTTAAGTAGTCATCAAATAAATTGTTTATTCCAACAGGTCAGTTTCAAAAAAATATATATGGTTTGTCACAAATAGCAAGAATAATTTTCTTGTACATATATACCTATATAAATATTTAAAAATGCGGTTAACGTAGCTTTCGTACAGGTTATCCCTAAAGATCTATTGTGATTTCTACAAATCATGTGGCATCTAGAAAAACCACACCCATAGATCCAGTTAATAAATCCAGTAAACAAACAAATTCAACTACATAAGTAGCTTAGGTACAGTACTAGTGTCGGTGTCAGTAATTGATGAATGGGGGCAGCAGTAATTGTTTTGACAGATATGTGCATGGGTAAGCACTCACAGTTACATTTTATAAGAATTATATATATGCCTATAACTTATAGGACTTAAGTACAGTTTAATTTGTTCATAGTTAAAAATCACAAAAAGTGATCACTGCATATCAAACCTGACATGGTGACGTAAACCTAACTTGTTTTGGTTTTCTCAGAAATATATTGTAATTGTCATTACTTTAAATCCTTCGTTTAAAAGGCATAAATGTTTTATTATACATTCTATCGGTTTTAATTTAAGTTTTCACATAACTTTTTTGACAACACTTCCTGAACTTTTATAATTCAATGCTTAGGGGTACACCTTCATGCTTACTTTCATGAAATAAATTATCAAGATGCCTAGTTTATTAAATAGTGGATTAAATTTGGATAATAATAATAAGGGAAATAATTTATAATTGTCACAGTTGAAAGTAAATCATACATGGCAGTATAAAAACAATCTTGTGAACACACTAATATTAAGTAAATGATCTAATACTTTAATTAGTAGATAATTTAACAGTTCTTCTGGTATCACTAGACTTTGGTTTAGAGACATACTTCATATTGAAAAATTGACAAAGAGCCTTCTTATATATTCGTATCTTAGTTTTGCACATTAACATCGTTTCGCTGTGAATACAGTTAAAAAATAAAGGGTGTTGACTTTAGTATCCTTTGCCATGATTTCGTTATTGATTTTGGTTTTTATCCATGTCATCCATAACAATAATGTTCTGATGCACTATTTATGCCCTAGCTGTTTGCAACATCTTTCTTACACGAAACGTACATAGTAACTACTAAAACAACAGGAAATATGATAGAAAGAAATAATTTCTAACATTGTATTAGGTGATAATTGAAACACGGTAATTATGGAGATTCTCAAGAAGTCATTCCGTTTTCGTTTGCGAATTTGATATTGATCTAATGTTTTACGTAACTGCGTTTCATTATTCACACTTATTATAATATGATAGGCAATGTGAATTAAATCCGAATCATAAATAAAACTTATAAACTCTTAAAAAATACGAAAGCACCATTCAATTAAAAAGCCGCGGACAATGCCTATAGCATCCAGCAGGGGATTATCCTTCACTACCTGCCCTTCTTTTACTCGCTCTTTCAGAAAGCAGGACACTAAAGAATATTTGCCAGAGTAATATTTTTTTTTAAGAATTTACTCAAAACTACGGCGTACCGCATCTCCTCCTCTAAAACCACGTACTTCCTACAGTGATAATTAATGGGGGGGGGGGGACACAAGAAAGGAAAATTGGTAGAGTAATGTTGCAGCTATATTATTATTGTCGCTTGAATGGGTCGGCTGGACCGGTATAGAACCACGCTCTCACAGAATACAAGCGTATTGTATTCCGTATGGTGAGTGTAGAGAACCGGAGACCCTTTTTACTGGATATGAGTCATTCCATTTTAGTCCTCAGTGGTGACAAACGCATCTGCATTTTGATTCTCAATCGAGAATACATATAGATGTCTATGGGCCACAGTATCCACTTGCCATCAGGTGGGCTGTGAGCTCGTTTGTCACCCTTATTCTATAAAAAAGGTGACAAACGCATCTGCATTTTGATTCTCAATCGAGAATAGATGTAGATGTCTATGGTCCACAGCATCCACTTGCCATCAGATGGGCTGCGAGCTCGCTTGTCACCACTAGTTTGTTAAATATATAATCATTCTTTAAAAAAAATAGTTTTTGGAGGGGGAGTGTCAACCACTCTCCCCTCAACGTCCCTTCTTATGCCGCAGGATACTAAAGCAATACCAAAAAAAAAGCTGTTAACTGAAGTAGATAGTCAGATTAGTTTATAATTTTTTTTAATAGTGCAGTCAGCCTATGTTGTAAATAAACAACAGAAAAGAGCTATTTCTATCATATACAATATTAGACAGAAAGCTCAGAGATCTTTTTGGATAATATAACTTTGAAACCATAAATATGCATTTGAAGTCTCTAAACTTGCTTTTATGAAATACAGAATTCGCAAAACTAATAGCTATTTTTGGGCAAGTGTAACTATTTATAACCAGGTTCCCTGTAATATTACCAACTTTCTTTTGCATAAATTCAAGAAACATGTAAAAAGGCTTTCTAACGAAGAATGAATATTATAAATTAGAAGATGATATTTAAAAGATAAACATATATGGATAGTTTTCTTAAACTCTCTTCATGTGGATATTATATATTTTATAAGGTTATTGTAATTGTTGCAAAAAATTAAGACTACTTGAGAATATCTCGCTGCTTATCCTTAATAGGTCCTCCTGCAGTAGGAACATGTTAATGCGATGGCGTAGCTTTCTTGACATTCAATAAGTGCTTTTATATGGTCATTTTTAATAAACACATTTTGACTGACGATCATATAGACCAATAATTAACATAATTTAATTTTTGGAGCAGTTTTACCATGTTCATTATTACTAACACACTGTACACACTAAGCCGAAAAGTGCACTCACAAATATATTCTGCTAGTAAAGTAGAAACCATAAGAACTTTTTTTATAAAAATTTGTCTGCAAAGATTGAATCACATTTTTGTATCCATAATTCTTTATCTCATCTTATTTTTATCCATATGCTGCCAAATCCATTGAATATTTTGCTTATTATTCAATTGTAATACTTTATACTTTAGGCAAAAATATAAAGTAAAATATCAAAATATCATTTAAATGAAAATTCTTATAATAAAGCGTCAAAGTCCTCAAAAATAATATATGTCATAATATTAATAATTGAATACATACTGAAACGTAAAATACTTTAATATTTTTCGTTTAAATTAATTTTCAATGTTTGCTCAGTTTTATGGAGTTAATAAGACAGATTTTAAATTTCATCCAATGATAATACACAGTGTAATAATATAATAAGCAATGAATTTCTACACTGCTTCCTCAATATTTACAAAAGTACTTACCATTGGCTGCTGTTGATCAAACATGCCTTGCTCTTGCCGGTCCAACATGGAATTGAGTCTTTGGGCCTACAGACAAAAGAAAAACAATAGTTTAAATATCACTGTTAACATTACAAGTTAACAAAATATATTACTCTTATGTGTCTTAAATCCCATGAATAAAATTTACTACATATATAATTTACATATAGAAAGAAAGGTATATAAATATATATTTCTTATATTTATATACCTTTCTTTCTATGTCTTTCTACCTTTAATAGTTTGTAAAAGTGCACTGCTGATGCACCACATATTGTGCACCTAAACCCATTTTGTTGGTTGCAAATTATTTCAGACGCATATGTGTATGTATGTGTTTTGGTTACGATTTTGTATGACTTGAAAAGTATGCAGTGCTCCAGGTTGCTGGGTTATCAACACTTAGTGTTAGCCCTCAGTGTTGTATGTTCCTAACCCACACCATATCGAATAAATATAAGTCAAACTATAAGAGAGGCATATGTTTAGAATTGGAGATGCAAACCAAAATAGATATAGTACATACTATAAATACATTTTTTATTTCACTCATACCTACTAAGTTTAGTAATAATATTTGTCCCAACACATGCCAATAACCATTGTATTAGTTTGTGACCGACATGGAGTTGGATGAAGAACAAATAAAAAGTTACGCCCTGTCAATTCGAGTTTTTTAACTAGAGTCGAGTTCCTTCTGAGTTAACACATCCCTAGCTCCTGTTGACACAATAAATGAATATAACAATAACAACTCATTTATATTCCCGCCAGTAGTAAGATATTTTAATGTTAAGATCAGTTTTCCCCTATACAAATAGAGGAAATCTATGGTTATTTAAGTAGGTAGGGTAGACTGGGTACGGTTGAAACGAGGGACGCTTGAAACAAAGAGTATATCTCGACACCGTGCATGATGTGGTTCAGGGGTATAAGGAGAGAACAACAAAACAAGAATTTAAGTGTTGCGTCGCTCTTCGCGCGCTGTTTTTATGTATAGAAGGCCTCATTGTGTTTTTTGACGGAAAAGTAAGTATTTTTTGTTCGTACATTTTTGCAATTATTATGGTTTTACTAAAGTTAGAATATTGAGTGTTTTGTATGGTTTTAATTGAAGTTTGTAGAATATGGCTGTATGATTAGTTTTTATTAAAATTTGTTATCATTCTAACTATGAACCGTTTTCTACCAAGAAGGGGGTTGCAGACAGTTGAAACATTTTTTGTGGGTACAGTTGAAACAGTTTATTTATTAAATTTTCTTGTTTCTTAGATGCGAAGGGTACGCCAAAGGAAGACTACGAAAAGTCAGGCCGACCTATCAAAGTATAAACAAACCTATGAAGATGTAAAAGCCGAATCTTTGTTAGGAAAAGCGGAAGAAAAGAATGGATTAAACAAGTGTTTACTCCCTGTTGAGGTACGTAAACGAGATGCGACTGGTGACGATGAAAATCAATAAATGGATTTTAAGGCTCACAATCGAATGCATGAACAAGAGCATGAGCTATCTAAATATTTAATAGATATGCAGACATACATTTCAGCCTGACTAAAAATGATGTTATGAAACTACGAACTAACCGTCAAGTACAACTTATCACGGCCTGGTTTCGCATGTTTATGAGAAGAAATCCGGAGCTGTCAGTGCGTGCAGCATAGGCTTACATGTTATTCTAGGGCGACTAGCTTAAAAAGAAATAACGTAGATGCATTCTATGATATTTGGCTACTATGATAGACCGTTACAAATTTCAATCCCAAAATATATATAATGCTTGACTTGAATATTAATAAAAATATTTGTGATCTTCAACTGTGTGAGTCGTAGAATGTTAAAAGACGATTAATAAAACATGTTCATTTATTATATTTTGTATTATTTGCATGTGTTTCAATTGACCCTAGGAACTGTTTCAACCGACCCTGGCATTGGGAAGGTTGAAACAAATAACTTTTTTTTTAAATGTGATTTTACATATAAAATACAGTACAGTGATCTCAAATAACATTGCCTTATTAGTAAACAGATATACGGTCTTATATTTAATATATTTCATTCATCGCTCGCTTAACAAATCCCGATGCAATTGACGATAAACGCTAAAATGTTTCAACCGTACCAAGTCTACCCTACCTATTGTCGGAAGTTTTTCAGAAATTGTGATAAAATAGTTTCATACGGTTAATTATAATTCCTACTATAGTTATCACTTTCTGCTTTTTTATATCTCTATTATTGAAATTAAGTATTAAATTATTTATTTAAGATTTTTTTCTGGAACCATTGTTTACACCACCTCCTTTGTATGGTTCTTAGTAGTCATAGCTCATGGCAAATATTATACTATAGTAAAATAGGCTTTTTTTAAATATCCTGGTTAAAAATTAAAATTTCAGTACAAATTAAAATTAAATAAATTTAATATATTTCGCCTCTCAATGTATTTACGAAAATGTAATGTAATTATACAATAATATAAGTACAGTCAAGTCTGGCAACTTTACCAATGAAAGTTAACTTTGCCAACAGCGATGTACAGGTACAAAATAACTATTTAATACGGACAAAGTAACGTTTTTCGAGAAATGTCATTTTTTAATGAAAATTTTATAACTAATTGACAGAATTGTTTCGATATGGCTACATTAGAGTAAAGCATTGGCATTTTGGCGATTTAGCCTCCTTGTTCAGTGCTCCAGAACTTTTGTTGATTTTACTAAAATGTAGGTATCTATATCTTTGTAGTAACGTAATAATAATGGGTAGGACATGTAATATTTCGTTTTTAAAATAGTGGTCTTATGCCCCATTTACATTCAGCCCTGTTGGGCAGGGAAGTGAGCAGGGCAGTGAGCAGGGCAGTATGTTAACGGGCTACTCGCGCTGACACTGCCGCTGCCGCTGCCACTGCCCGACGATCCCTCAAATATCGGTTTTTCGCGCGGAAGTCAAAGGACGGGCAGCGCGAGCGGCAGTGAGTGTTCACATTCAGCTCCATCGCTTACTTCGCGCCAAGCGCCTGGATGAACGGACGTGCGTGCCGTCTTGTTATTAAATAAGTACGATCTACCAAAATGCCTTTCGAGTGGAATAATGAAAATACAATAAAGTTTTTAGAACTGCTAGAATCAGAAAAAACTATGGGATTTCGACGATAAAAACCACAATTCATCATCTTCTACGAATACGAATTTTCTTTTTTGACATAACATAGTACCTATGTACAAATTTCACTCAAAATTCAAAAACTATCAAACCACAGAATAAATAATAGTATATATAAGAACAGAAGGATCAGGAACAGGATCAGAGAGGGCTCAGATAGCAAACTTGCGAGTTTAAACATAGTTACAACGTCGATAATGTTCATAATATACACTTTGAACGTCTCGGACGCCTTGCACGCCCGCTTTGTGAAAATAGTAAACCGATTAAATCGTCGAAAATTTTATGCAGCGCGCTTATTAAATTAAAATGGACTTTATCACCGCGTACGAGTGTCTTTATCACTTAGCCCGTTACGCGCCTTTGTTAAGGCCGCTCCTACCGTATGGTAAGGTTAGTTGTAAGAAAACAAACTGAATCCTTTGATATTAGTTGGTCTAGAATACACAGAGGTGTTATGTAATGTATTAGTAACTTGCTGATAATAAGAATATTATTGTTCAATGTACGTTAAAGGTTAGTATTACCTACTAATACTACCTCCTTATACTTTATTACTATTAGATGCTGTGTGATACCGGTATAGTAGATAGCATCACCTCGTATAGATAGCGTAAGCAGTATATACTGATCTTGCATTAGTAGGCAGCCACTAGCACTGGAAGGGTCTACATACAATTAATGATTTTTTTAAGTCGTTGACATTCTACGCGAAAAAATCGACAACTCTGAAGCTGTGGTCAGGTCGCTAATAAAATAATAAGCCAGTAACTAGGTACCTAATTGTCTAGATCTACTTATAAATAATATCTTACCTTTCGATATCCTTTGGAACAGTAAAGAATGAAAAGTCGATATTCCTATTGTTACTTAAGCACCTGTATGCAATGCAGTACTTTGCGGATTTTTTAGTGGCCCATTCTTGAATAAAAACTCTATCAAGTGCCTTAATATCGATAAGAGAAAAGTACTTATTTGTCAACGTAAGGCCCGCGTCAACTCAACAGCGCGAGTGACAATCTCACTACAGTACCCTGAATTGACCACGCAGTGGTCCGTATAGTGGCGGTTAAGAATATCTATTATCCCATATATCTTCCCGTGGGTGTCGTAAAAGGCGACAGAGGGAAACAGACAGAAGATGAGCAGCAGCATCTTCCTGATAAAAGCAATTGTATAACAAAAAGAACTGTGATTTCCAACCAGCTCACCAAGCGTGACAACTATGGCAATAAACCCACATGATAAAAGTTACGAAGGTACGGCCCCCAGTCCCCAGCGGCCCCGCTATTCCTGGGTACGGTGGCGACCATGGTAACGACGGGGCAGGGGGTGCTAAGAATCTCTGATGGAGAATCGGTTGCCACCTAAGACGACTTGACCTGGCAAAATACAACGCACGCACTCTGACGAGAAGATCCAGGAGCTGGAGGAAGAAGAGATAGACAAGTTGCGCTATAATATTTTAGGATTATCCAAGGCACCAATAGACGGGGATGACACGGTGATCCTGGAATCCGGCAATTTGTTCTATTACCAGGAGGGACCATCTGTCCCAAGGTGTCGGATTTATTGTCCACAAGTCTCTCATTACCAATGTTATTAAAGACTAAGTGTGACGAGGGTTGTGTACCTAATGGTCAGAATCACCAAATGGTATTCGCTGAAGGTCATATAGGTTTACGCACCAACCTTGGCACATCCCGATGAGGAGATGGAGGATATGTATGAGGATATCTCTTAATATGCATTCCTCCAAAACTCACTGTACGGTGTTAATGGGATACTTCAACACAAAACTGGGCACAAGAAAGAACGGTGAGCTGAAGGTAGGGAAATTTGGGACAGGGCAACGGAACCCAAAAGAGCCAGCAGCTGACCGACTTCATGGAGAAAAAGGGACTTTTTATGATAAACTCTTGTTTCCAAAAGCGGCCTCACAGAAAGTGGACCTACAATTTGACAAAAAATGAGATTGACGTCATTATGAAGGCAACTGTTTAGTGATGTCTCAGTGATCGCAAGGGTGAACACTTGCAGCAATCACCGAATGTTTAGAGGTACACTGAACCTAAATGTTAAGTTGGAGAGGTCTCTTCTAATGAAGTCAACGCTCTGTCTCCTTCGTGCGCTAAATCCAAAGTCCCAAAACCTTTCAGCTCGAGTTCCAAAATCATTTTCAGTGCCTAGAAGACTGCAATGCAAATAATGAAGTCTTCAACAGATTTGACGACATACAGGCAACTGAACAGACAGTTCTCAAAATGCATGCGGCGGGACTTACGCTAGCAGTATCAGTAACTCCATGGAATCAGTAGTTCATTCTTGGAGCAATGTATATGCTTTACAACGAAATCTCAGAAAATATACAAAATTAATCCTACACCAAATTTTGTAACTTTCTTAAACAAATATTATACAAAAAGGATTATTATAAATTTATAACCCATTGGTATACGGTGATTGCTAACTGTGATATATGTACAATTAAATGTAGTACACAGACTAATGGTGGTGCCCCACTCACATTGCTGATGTCATCGGAGGCGAGTGGACGTTGTCGTTGTGCTGTGTATCTACTTACTGATAGTTAGTTGTTTTACTAAACCCCTAGACTTAAATTAGTGGACACCACACTAACAAACTATTTTTTTATTTGTTTTGTGTAGTTAATTGTGTAACATAATATGATTGTGAGCTAGTTTTGTTTTTAATGTACCACTGGAATTTTGCCAGTTTTTCCTAGGACAGAGAGGTATTTTCCAAACCAGTGGTAAAAGAAACATAAGAATGACTTTCAAGTATTATTTATCTCTATATTGGATAGTTTCTTTTTTTAGAAGCAAGGTGTTTAGTGTTGTAGTGATGCACGGGGGTGGTAGAGGTAGCTAGCGTGGTGCGCACCTGCACGAAGAGCGTGTTCTCCTGCTGGCGGCGGCGCAGCTCGTCGTCCTGCAGGCGCATGCGCTGCGAGAGCTCCTCCTCCTGGCGCAGCAGCTGCGCGCGCTCCGCCTCGCGCCGCTCCTCGGCCGCGCGCTCGGCCATCTCCCAGCTGCGCTTCTGCCGCTCACGGTCTTGCTCACGCTGCCGCAGCTGCTCGCGCAGCAGCTCCGTCTCGTGCTCGTACCTGCGCAACTCGTCCTCGTCAATATACAGTACGAGTATATAGCACTGCGACTCTACTGCAAGCGCATTTTAACACTAACTGACAATTTACACTAAGACAGTTTGGACAGCAAAAATATGTGATCAAATGGTATTTATTAGGTATCAACTACATAATAATATACTAATCCTCTAACTAGTTCCTATTCAAATAGGTGGCACTATAACTTGCACTCCCAAATAGATTCCAGATTTTTAGTATAAGTATAAAATGTATGAATAATCAATAACATATCTACAACAATCAACCACAGTGACCTATGAGGTACAGATTTTGTAGTTTCTTTTTAGGCACAATACAAACATTAAATTGTAAATGAGTCATTATGGTTCATAAATATAGAATTTATTGAAAACAACTTACATAAACAATCAACAATTTATCAATTACCACTCCTCACAATACCTCACAACTCATATTCATATCTTAGACAGGTAAGTGATTACTACTGAACACAGATTCCATTAGCTGGAAACTATAAGTGACTATGCTATAGTGTATAGCTAACTATAGTGAGGCTATGGCAAAAGGATCTAGTACTCCTAGATCCAAGGCAAATGAACAAATCTCGACATTGCTGGCAATTTCTCTATTAATTTGAGTAGTTATCAGAAAAAACCCATCTCTTGTCTCATTTCCCTGTCTTACCTCTTACAACACCCACAAGATGATGTGCGGCAATGTATTACCTTACGCTGCCACTATATAGCAGGCTTACATTTTTAATAAATCACTTGACACTTCCCTTACCAATTAGTTACTAGAATTGACATAACTTAGCAATAATGAACATAGCAACTCACTATCAGCACACAAGTAAAGAAACTGACCAGAAGAAAAGCTTCATACTAGGCTGCACTAAAATTATCGGGAATGAAATATTTCCACTGTTCCTGTCATATTAAAATCTTTTTAATTGAAAATTCCTTGGTTTTCAAAATCAAATACCATTTATTTATTTAAAAAAAGATTCTCGGTCTTGTCACAAGGTTTTGTCAAACTTGTTTAGTTGTTGAGAAAATGGAAGTGACTCGAGAAAATTCAAGAGCGATGATTTATTATGACTTTCGAAGTGGTTTAACACAAAAACAGTGTGTTGACCGGATGATTTCTGCATTTGGTGATGAAGCCCCATCCAAAACCATAATTTATCGCTGGTTTGCTGAATTTCAACATGGACATGTCAAGCTCAGTGATGATCCCCGTCAAGGTCGTCAAAAACTGCAGTCACCCAAGAAAACGTTGATGCTGTGCGTAAACTGATTGAGGAAGATTGACATGTGACATACCGCGAAATTCAGGCAACTTTATGACATTGGCATGAGTCAAATACAAATAATCTTGCATGAACAATTAGGTGTAAAAAAGTTGTTTCCCGATGGATACCGCATTCGTTCTGTGAAGAGCAAAAAGCGGCTCGCGTTACTTGATGCGTCAGAACTCTCGAAAGATTCCACGCAGGATCCTCAAATGCTGTATACAACATCGTATCAGGTGACGAATCCTGGATATATGCGTACGAATCCGAAACAAAAAACCAGTCACGAGTTTGGGTGTTCGAAAATGACTTAAAGCCAACAAAAATTGTTCGTTCACGGAGTGTTGCAAAAAAAATGACTATTACTCTTAAGGAAAAAAGAACGGTTAATACAGAATGGTATGCTAGCATTTGTTTGCCACAGGTCGTTTCTGAACTTCGTAAAGAGAACTGCAACCACCGCATCATCCTCCATCACGACAATGCGAGTTCTTATACGGCACACAGAACAAGTTTTTAGAACAAGAAAACATAGAATTATTAGATCATTCGCCGTACAGCCCCAACCTAAGCCCTAATGATTTCTATACTTTCCCTAAAATAAAGAATAAATTGCGTGGATAGAGATTTTCATCACCTGAAAAAGTTGTGGATGCCTGCAAAACGGCCATTTTGGAGACCCCAACTTCCGAATGGAATGGATGCTTCAATGATTGGTTCCATCGTATGGAAAAATGTGTCAAATTTCGCGGAGAATACTTCGAAAAGCAATAAATACGTTTTTAAACAGTAATGTTGTGTTACTTCCTTGATTCCCGAAGTTTTCAGGGCCGCCCTCGTATAAGCTTGCTATGATCGGTACACTACCACAGGCTTAAGGCGCTGGGTTCTTTACTTGTACGACTGCTATATCATTCACGGTTATATTTAGTTTGGCAGGTATACTTTTGTAATTTCTAAATTATACGAGTTTGGTTTTTGACAGGTGTACTTTTAAGTTCATTGACTGCAGCTAATCAGTAACTGTTTTCGATGTTTTGTTTATTTCATTTTAATAATCAGAATCATTTAAGTCATCATTAGAAATAAATATAGTTGCGTCATTGGCATACATAACGCATAGGTGGGTAATTATGTTTGGGAGATCGTTAACATATAATAGGAATAAAGGGGGGCCCCATATGCTACCTTGGGGTACACCCAGTATTACATTTTCAAATTCAGATTTAACTACCTCAACCATTTTTGTAGATTCATTATATATCTTGATAACAGTTGCTAGCATTCTATAATTTAAATAATTTTCTATTAATTTAAGTGATAGTCCTCTTATTCCTATTGCCTTCTATTTATTTAACAAAATATCATATTTTACAGTCAAATGCTTTTGACATATCAATAAAAAGAGCAGAACATTGTTTTTTAAACCTGGTTTTTAATTCGATGGCTAGTGATTTCACTAATTCAACAGATGAATGCATTTTTGTTGTGGGTAGGATATTATATTAACTTTAATTTTATTGACTGATTTTGTTTCACATAACTCCTATAGTCCTACATATTTTAGTTTATATGTTCATTACCCCACACATTCTCATTGAGTTGATTTCATTATTTTCAGTTGATATTTTATGAACAATGTCTCAATGTAATGAAGCATAAATATTGACACTATTGCAATCTTTGCCAGAAGATAAATCGGATATTAAATTAAAAAAACTACAGTCATTCTCACCATTGGGGACCAGGATTAATCACAACCTCTAACATTATTGACTATCTTATTCTACAAACTGGAACAGCAAACGGTGCATGGTTGCTTAGTGGTACAAATACATACAAGAACTATATAGGGTAGTGGATATATGGCCTATAGCGTAATTCCATCTCATTTATTTTAACTGAAATAGTCTTATCTGAGTCTTATGCAGAGAAAGTGACACTAATATTTTCATAAAACAATACTCAGTTTATTGTAATACAACAAAATAATAACAGATGGTACCAGAAACAACAAAAACTTTCTTTCTTAAAACTGTTGCAAGAGAGGCCGCATGGTTGTCAAAATATTAAGGTGAGGTTTTTTTCCATTTTTTGACGTAAAACTACTTTTTTGGTTTGTTTGTGATGTTTTACTGCATGTTTTAACGGAGAAAGGGTGGCTTATGTAAATTATAAAGTTACATAATATGATTCTCCTTACCCAACCTAAAAAAAAGTTCACTGGCCAATAACTATATCAAATTTTTATTTTATTACAGTAATTGGCCCCCTAGGGCCAATTACTGAACTGCTATACTGTAATAATTTGTAATTTTATTCAATATTTAAGTCAATTTGACCCTAATAAATATGTAGTTAAAGTCCTGGCAACCTAGCCTATCGGGATCAGTAATTAGCCAGGGGGCCAATAACTAAATTCTAAGCTAGGCCAACAACTAATTCTTCCTATAACTTGCATAGATTTGTGACAAGATGCCAAAAATACCAAAATATTCGAAGGAGCAGTTTAATAACGCGTTAAAAGGTATTAACCACGGAATCCCTTTAAGAACTGCAGCAAAAAATATGAGATACATTGCAAATTCTCGAGAGACCTGGGAAAGGGTGGTTGAAAGGTATTTTAAAACTACGTCCAAGAATCACACAAGGGACGGGAGAAGCAGTTACTTATGCAAGTGCTTGTGTTACAGAGAAAGATATTCGTAACTGTTTTGCTCAAGTAACAAGTTTACTAGAACAATCAGGTCTAAACAGTGTCTTAGAGGATCCATGAAGGATTTTTAACGCAGATAAAAGTGGCTTTCAGACTTGTCCAACAACAGGAAGTTTTTGCTGAGAGAGGAGAAAATAAACGTGTACATAGTAGATAAAGGAAAAGTCAAAGAAAACATGACAGTCCTGTTTCAGCTGACGGAGAAAATGTCTTACCTTCAATTGTGTATCCCTACCAAAGATTACCCTACAGAATAAAGCAGAGTGTGCCCAAAGAATTCCGTTATGCCACCAGCCCATTCAGATAATAGCAGATACTTTTAAATACAGAAAAAACACAAATACATGCGCGATTTCTAATTATTCAACAGAAAAATATACAATTATTACTAAAACGAGCATTGAGATAAATAAAATAAACCAAAGTAACTTTGATGCAATAGAAAGAGAAAACGAAATCTCCACAAAAACATTAAAACCAGATGATCTTATTACTTCGCAAGACTTTAGTATTGTAGACGAAGCTCTTCCATGTCAAGACTTAAAAGCTGGTCTTAAAGGTTTTGTACACATACCACCCATACACATGTCACATATCAGGAGCAGAATATCAGAAGATTCTAGAAGAAAAAGCTAAGGAAAAATAAAACGTAGAAAAAGAAAGGCTAAAGAAACCATGGCTGCCAAAATTAATAAAAATATAAAATTATGTTTAACCAGACCTGTAATATTTGCAAAAAACCCGAGAAGAAAGGAAACTTAACGTGTTCTCAATGTAAGCGTAATTTTCATAGACGGTGTGTACCAAAATCTCATAGAAAGCACACACAGTTACCACTGTTATAATATATACACTATATAACACTGAAAATAATGAAAACTTCATTGGTGACAATCATTCTGATGATGAATTTTTATGTAGCGTCAAAGAAAGACAGTTGGAACTAGGATTTCGTCCTATACTATTTAATTAACATACTTTTTGTGTGATGGCCAATAACTGTACTTTAAGAGGCTAATAACTGTGATTTGGGGGCTAATAATTACATTTTATGTCATCTCAGATACTTTCTTAAGGTTAAAATTAAAAATGTCAAAATAGTATAGTCTTGAAGCGACAGTAGCCTAGTGGCAGGGCACGGACCGCGAACTCAAAAGGTCGCGGGTTCGAATCCACCATTCGAGTACTGTCGTGAACCACTCCTAACACAAGCATTTTCAGCTTACCAGGAGTGGTTAAAGGGAATATTAGTAATGTTAATTAATAGGATTACTAATATTTAAAAAAAAAAAAAAAAAAAAAAAAAAAAAAAAAAACAGTTTTTTGCAGGAAAGCATATACGAAAATATTCGTAATTAAATTCTTTCTCTGATACCAATTTTCTTTGGTTACCAAGGCATAATCTCCATGTTAAAAACTATCTGTTTAAACTAAATTTGTTCGGTTATCAAGAGTGAAGGTTATAAAAAAAATATATTTACATTAATTAAAAATAGCCATGAACACTTTTCGAAAGGCAAAAGCTATCATAGGTATGTTTATAAATCAATAGAATTTGATAAAAAATAAGTTGCATCTGGTTATGAGATGGGTGAAGGTCAATCTGCCATGGTCTCCTCCACTATATAGTTTTACAAATATGTAAGAGGGAAGTGCCAAGTTAGACAGATTCTTAGGCAAAACATGCACATTGGATGCAATTCAGAGTTCAACAAAAACTTAGAAGGGAAATAACATAGTGACTAAATGTTTGCCTAGAGTGAACTGATTTTATGTAGAAATTTGTATATGGGAACACTTTTTATGAAAAACATTCAAAACATGCTGAGCTAGAACAATATCTGGCTGGCCAAACTTACAAGTTATTTAAATATTCTTAATATACTACAGCTTGGTCTACCTAACTTTTGGATATTTTTAGATTCGCTTGTTAGTTTTGATAACACAACTAGAAGTATACTAAATAAAAATATACTAAATATGTTGTTTTACTGGATGTTGACTTTTCATTTAGTAAATCACGAAGTGGGAAAATTCATAAAAAAAAGCAATAATAAATAATAATATATTACTCAGCACACTTACTTGGCATACTCCATTTGAGCCTCAAGTTTTTCTTCTTCAGCTGCCAACTCTTTTTTTAATGCTTCCTCTTTCTGGCGGTGAAGCTCATGCAATTGCTTCCACCTTGTTCCATATTCATGTTCAAAACTACCAGCCTCGGAAAACCGTGGTCCAATCTGAAAAGAACAATTATTTAGTAATAGGCAAAAATATAATATGTTCGAATTTAAAAATACAAACAAACAATTACCTCACGGGCTCGCATATATTCTGGATGTTTCTTAGGCAAGTTCTTTTCAGGATAACCATCAAGCTCATCTGGTTCCTCAAAGTTTTCAACAATTACTGGGCGTAGTGAACTGTGGGGAAGGGGCATATTTCAGTAACGAATCTATTTTATCATATCAAAAATATATTAAACTAAACTCTGAAACTTACGAAGTTAAGAAAAAGCATTTTTCTGTGCAATTGCGGATAGCAGCTAGAGCACTAGGCTTGCGAGCGAACTCCACTACACCTTCGCTCAAAGTTTTCCCTCTCTCATCAACCCTTACATAAGCTCGTTCTATCTTTCCAAATATTTCAAAGGCTTTATAAAGAAGTTCATTTGACACAAATGGCGGGAGGTTTTTGACGCGAACAGCGCTGTTATGTGGTGCAAATCTTACTCTGAGGGCTCTACCATTCCTAACTTTACCATCAAGTTCCCTCTTTGCCTTTTCTGCATTAACTCTGTAATCCTGTAAAATTCCAGCAAATATGAAAATATAATCTTTTAAATTAAATAGAGCACTTATTATTTATTAAATATTTGTACTTACCATTTTTATAAAACCAAAGTTTTTCTCTTTATTAATAAACAATTCTGCAGCTTCACCATACTGACCAAACAGATTCATTATTTCTTCTTCTGTAACATCAGATGTAAGGTTTCCAATATACAGTCTGCTTCTGCCATTAAACTTGACTTCAGTTTGATCAATTGGGGGCAAGTCAACCAGAGGCCCTACAAGGTCCTTCAACTTGTTTGCTAACATTTGTTCCTGTATGGTAAAATAGATATATAAAAACAATCACTTGTACATGTCAGCTAGACAAGAGCTTAAAATTTATTATAAAAATAATTTAAACTGTACCTCACGCTGCACTGGTTTGCCATCCTGCATTTGTCCCCTCATGCTGTTGCGTTGTTGATTACGTGCCGGCCCAGATCCTCCACCAGGTTTTTGGCCAAATGGTTTTTGGTTCATGTTCTGATTTTGCTTATTACCTGGTCCACCTGGACCTCCATGATGCCCTGGACCACCTGGACCTCCGTGACCACCTGGACCACCCGGACCGCCTGGACCTCCTGGGCCCATCGGACCCCCTTGCCCCCAAGTTCCACCATGTTTATTTCCACCTCCAAAGTTTCCATTAACATTCTAAAAATTATACAAAAACATTAGAATAATATACTTTCTGAAGCGATTAAAAAAGCAGCTAGTTACCCCTAAAAAGCTCCCTGTATATTTTGTAAATTTCATATTATTCAAACAAAATTTGATTTGCACTGCTGCTAAAATCAGGGTAGTATGTAGGGTAGATACTCAGGGTAGTCATAGATGGCTGCTCTTCTGACTTATGAATATTAATGAATGATATGAATATTAATGCTAGAGTTTCTCAGGGGTCTGTTCTCTCCGCAACTACAATGACATACTCCTACCAAGGGATGTTCCGAAATACAACGCAGTGTACTGTCCAATGCAAATGACGTCATGAATCGACGCTATACTGGTGATTCGTTCCAAAACATTGGACAGTATATGACGTCATACTTTTGCGCCATTTGGAAAAGTGTTGGCGATTATTTTGTCATTTTGTGCTCCAAAAATCATTATATCCTCCTAATGGATATACCATCAATTATTCTATAATTTTTTGTATTTGAGTAAATACAAACAAATTCTGGCATGCTTCATTCGGCAAACACACAATTAAAAATTGTTTTATTATGGCCGGATATCCGACACAATATGGCGGCGGCACGCTAGTACAATAAAGTGTCAAATGATACGTCATTTGCATTGGACAGTACACTGCGTTGTATTTCGAAACATACCCCAAGTATTGTTGGGTATGCAGATGACAGCACAATCAAAGAGAGATTTATGTCCATTGCAAAAAACGGAGAGACAGTAATACATGCACTCAGAGAGGCTATTATAGAGCTGTGAAATGCGACCTTAAGTCAATCTGCTATAGTGACAATCTGGTCACTTTTAACGCTGCCAAAATGCAGACCTGTCTGTTCTCCGCAAAACATTGATCTGACTCCTAATTTCTGAGGTATATGTGTGGAGTTTACTGATCATCTTGAGCTTCTTGGCATACACTTTAGTGCTAACCTTAACCCAGCCAGTATTTTTTCAAGTGCCTATAACCTGAACCTCGTTAAGGTGAATGTTAAACAGGCTTCTCAGATGGAGATCAAGAATTTAAAAAAAAATTTAAATTATTCAGAATTTATGTGTGCTGATTTACCTAAGTATGCTATTACATAGGAAGAAAATCTATACATATGACAGAAATATTTTGAGGACATATTAAATTGGTCAATATGCACTGAAGCAGCAAACTCCCTTTTGCCCTTCAGTTAAAGACATATTTAGGCTAAAACTATTTAAAAAAAATACAAGAGTATAATGACTGAGTTTACGTTAAATAAACTACAAAGCAATTTGCAATAATTTAAGGATATGTTTAAAAATCTATTGAACAAACCTTCTGAAATTGATTCTGATTTACATTCGGGCCCTGATTACTCTGTTCATTACTGATGGATTTATCAACATTGTCCTGTGATTCAGGCTTGGATATATTGTGTGGAGATTTTTGTTGTTGCGCCTGCTGTTGCTGACGTTGGTTTTGTTGAGATTGTTGTTGCGGCTGGCGTTGATTATGCTGTTGTGGACGATTGTGCTGTTGCTGTTGATTCTGAGGTGGAGTCGGTGTGGGTGCTGGAGACTGCTTAGTTACCTCAGCAGGTTTATCTTTTTGTTGTTGCGGTTGTTGTTGTTGTGGCTGTTGCTGCTTCTCATTCTCAGGGGATTGTTTCATTGGCTATAATTAAACACATATTATAATGCACAAAATAAAATAATTCAAGAGAATAGTGATATTTAATTTCTAATATTAAAATCTTCCACCTTTTTATAAAATTATTGTTTCATCATGCCATTAAAAACTGGCACCAATCAAGTCCAACAATATAATCCCAGAATTCATGTTTTGCTTTATGAATTTCTTATTTAAATAATTTCATGTAACTAATTCATTATTTTTTATGTCTATTGAAAAATCATAATTATCAAAACAACTTATGTAAAGCATATAAAATTATGTTTCTATACTCCATCAAGGTTTTTCACGGATGACTGTCAATAATGTAATTTAGGTACCAATTAAAAGATAATACAGCCACCTACATCACGGGTGTTAAATAGAAATGGGCCGAATATTCGTTTTATATTAGGTAGCTTTACGGAATATTCGTTAAAGTGGTACTCAAAGTATCCACTGTATGGAAATGTACGAATTGAGTAATCTTTCATAATTTTACTGTTAAATCACAGAATACTATAATACACAATAGAATGACTGACAAACTTATTTTGTAGGAGATTGGGCGTCGCCGGGAGCACACATACAAGCAATGTATTATCACTACTACAAACCCCATAGTGTGCAATTCGGTGAATTTGGTATTTTCTAAATAATTTGCATGCAAAATTCGGAAACGATTGTTACGTCAAAACACATCTTGTGTTGACATTTATACATGTGAATTGACGTGTTAGTGACATGTTAGTGGCTACACAGGCCCCACCCACTCCCCCGTTCTATTATGTATGTATTATAGTATTCTATAGGTTAAATGTACTTGTATAGCATTATGTTTTTTGAAGCGCTGTAGATTTATTTCCAATTATAACAAATAGAAAGCTTGACAAATTTTGTTTGAAATCAAACAAAGAAACATTACATTACAATTGTCAGCGTCTCTAATATAGGTCCAAATAGTAGATCTCCTGCCACTCATTTTCATCATATAATTATCAATTTTCACTAAGAATAACACAACGAAATACTTTTTGTCTCACAAAAATAGTCAAAACATAGACATGTGCCGGCAATTTGCTCAGTATTAAACGATGCAATAACATGTCAGGTGTGGCGGGGGAGCGTATGGAAGGGTCCGGCGCTAATCCCGCGTACTTTACGGTAACAAGTTTCGACATAAATTGGATAGGTACCGCGGTAATCCTGCCGAATACTGTTCGGCCGCATATTCAGTTCGGTAAAAATTCTACCGAACTTTCGGCCGAATATTCGTATTCGGTGAAATCCATATTCGGCCCATCTCTAGTGTTAAACTTTGTTTTTCAATTTTCAACTGAAACCCACTGCATACAATATACTGTTTATAACTGCGAGAATCTCATTACACTAACACCAACCAGAAAGATTTTGCATCAGATGAAAACATTAAGAAACTTAAGAGACTAAGCAATTCCTTTACAATTATTGCAGAGGATTCACAATGTAGATTGTAAAATTAGAATATTACACATGCAAATATAACCTACAATTTATTTTTGTATAAAACCAACCAAATTGTGATTTTCATCTTAATACATAACTACACATGTTATTTCTCCTAAGTTTCATTTTCAAATTTACAGATCAATTCATCGATACAATTCCAGCCTATCGTAAGTCCACAACTATACAAAGGCCTCCCTGTTAGATTGTTTCCTAGCCACAGTTGCTACAAGTTGGCAAGCTGTTTGGCAACTGCATTTTTTATTATACTGAAAGTTATAAGAAAGTAGCTGTTTCCTATCTATATTATTTTCTTCTGTCCCCTCTTACGACACCCACTGGTTGATATAAGATAGTAGATTCTATTATGCAGTCAAAGAGAGGAAAACGAAAAACACACGCTCTCCAAAAAAAAAAAAAAGTCATTACAAAGCGAAAATAATTTATCACATTCTTAAAAATACACATCTAAGAATACATCCCCGTGGAAGGCGAGTAGGGTAGTTATAAAGCAACCAACAACCCTAAGGATGGCCACACACATACGGAATTCCTGTTTGAGATTCCGAATGCAGCAAGTTCACATAAATTCAAGGACCTGCCACACATAATGTAATTTACCATATGGAATTTTCTCCGATTCAAGATTCCGTATGACCGTCTGTGTTCGGAATCCTGCATCGAAAAATGCCACCCCAAATGCAAGTTTTCCATAGATTATGTATGAGTCGCAAACACATTCGTAAATTCCGTACGGAATGCGCCCAGTGTGGGTCGCCCAACCGACTGAAGCAAATAGGTGATCTAGTACATGGAGGATTATATTTTCCATAATGAAGAATACTTGTTATATTCCACATAGTGGAACCAAGTGTATTAATTTTATATTACATAGTTTTCCGAAGGCTGATACAATATGTGGGTGAAAAATATTCTCTGGAAGACAGAAGAGGCTCAGTTCAAGGAGCTGCAGTTCATTGTGTCATTACCACTATTTTAGTTGGAGCTACATACCCCTGCACTTAATATCTGTACTCATTGTCTGTTATTTGTAATATAATGAGCCTAGTTATTCCGAACGAAAAAAAAACGTATGTGTGTGATGTACGTACGGTATCCCTAATCGGAATTCCGAACGTAGCAAGTCAATATAAAATCAATAACCCGTCACACTCACGGTAGTTTTCCAAACGGAATATTGCGGGCAAAACGGGATTCCGTATGTGTGTGGCCGAAAGGATTGTTGTATGTTTATTGTATGTAGTATGTGGCGGCCTAACACAAGCGAATAATTACTACTTTTTAGGGAACCTCTAAGTTGGTAGTCCTCAATTATTAATCATATAATCTAACGACAATCTATTAATTAGTGATTTATGAGCCGCATTATTTCCAATAAAAATCAAGGAACTTCATTGAAAATAGCCTGAAAAGTACATACAACTTGAATAAATCACACGCCCTAATACAAAATGGCCGGCACCCATGCAACGAGATGTTCAATAAAAACAACTAAATTAATTGTATATAGTTGGTTAATAGTTTATTTAAAAGTCTAAATTTAGATAGCAGCAGGTAATAAATTCAATGCGACCATATGAGAATATTTAACAATAAATAGCTAACATTAGGTACCTCATTACTTGGTCGTTGACCTCCTTGTGCCGGACTCTGATTCCTTTGATTATTATGATCAAATCGAGAATTGCGAAATCCGCCACCTCCACGATTATTACCACGGCGACCTCCTTGCCTCTGCGGTTGTGGGGGTCCACCAAACCCTCTATTTCCAAACTGATTCTGACCTTGCATCTGCATTCTGTAATATAAGATTCAAGACATGAACATTACGAGTAAAGATAAATTAATAATCCGAATAGAAATAATAAGTACATCGAATTTTAACTGCTTGAATATAAAATATTAAGCACTTATGATAAGAAATTCACAATTTAAGACACCAAAAACTCTAAGACAAACGCCAATACAACGACGTTATGTCTAGTTGAGTATGACGATTACGCAAAATGGCGGCAGATAAAGCGGAAAGCACGAAGGCACAAGGAAGCGGAAACCAGATGGCAGAGCCCAAAGGGGCAGTGTTGCCAACATTAAAATCTAAATTCCGTTGTATATAACACTATTATCCCGTCAAATCCCGTCAAGTACGGTAGACAAGAGTATCAATCATTGGGTGCGTTTGGCAGAAAAAAGCGCTAGCAGGCGCTTGTAAGCTAAATGGCGAAACTAAACAGTTTTCGGCCAGGACGCGTTTGATAACTTCAGTAGCGCTGACACAATCCGCCATTTTGCTTATTTAATTTGTTTGTTTTGAAGTAGAGTTTATAAGTTGTTTTGTGCAATATTAGTTTTAAGTAATATAATCACATGAACAAACATATGCATGTTATTAAAAATTCATGGTATTGGTGTTTTTAATATGAATACTTTACAAACATATATTTAAATTAGGTTAGGTTTCGCGGTTAAAACTAACTTCGTGTCCTAGAGGAAAATAGCTACTTACGATTTGACAGCGCTTACCGCTTACGATCGCCATTTTGCTTACAAGCGCTTGCTAGCGCTTTTTTCTGCCAAACGCACCCATTCATTTCTAGTGACCGAATCATTATAGTTCATATCGTCACGCGTACTGGTACATTCGGATCGATCATTCAAATGGATCACTTCGGGCTCCAGTATTCCGTTGAGTCCGTGAGATCCATTGGGAACTGAACATTTTCTATTTGAGATTCGTAACGGCGCCATCTACTACATACTATAGGTAATAAAGTCACTTTATCGAACTAAAACTTATTGAATTTCAAGGATATCACAGTTTCAAACAGTAAAGAGAGAGAATGAAATAAATAGATTATTTGATAGTTTTTCCAACGACAAATGAAAATTTACTCACTCAACTTTTTAAAGATAAGAATGTATTGCACATTTGTTCGTATTTTTAAAATAAAAAAATGAATAAAATTATAATTTAATTTTTGCCATTTCCAAATTATTTTTATTTCGAAAACAATTAATCTAAAAAAGTTACAAATACGAAATAATGTTTTGTTGTCCCGTTAAAAAATCCGTTAGCCGTTAAACACAATTTTTTCCCGTTGCACACCTCGCTGTCCCGTCAAATGTAACGGGAAACCCGTCAAGTTGGCAACACTGCAAAGCGACCCAAAGAGATAGTTGTTTTTGTAACATTAGGTCAGGCAATGGTCAAAGGCCACACACCCTTATTTTCATATTATTCAGTTTTTCTACTGGGTTTTAAACTCTTTAACAAAAATAATTTTTGACACTTTTGTGTGCGAAATTACCGATACAACCGAAATATCGTCTAAAAGTCACATTAAAATTTCATCTCAAATTTTTCAGCCACATGAGTGAATTTTCATCCTTTGATTTTTAATGTGATCCTTTAGAGATTGAGGTACTAGGTTAAAAAAAGAATCATCAAAATCGATTACCAAAAATTAAAGCTTAAACTCCTGAGGTATTCTTTTGTGTATATTCATCAAACATACATATCAAACAAACAACCTAGAAATCGAAAAACTTTTAATCAATTTATTTGGAATATAATAGAATCTCCTTCTTTTTTGTATCACCTACGACTTTGCTAAAACTAGGGAGATGCCACTCAAAAATGAAGTAGGTACATAGACTTAGAAAATTACATACATACAGAGAACCTACAATTCTATACAAATTGAGTCAATATACTAGTCTGGCTTTTTCTTATAAATTTTTCGAATTAGGCAAAAAGGACAAATATATTCAAAGATATTCCGTGTAATTCACGTGTGGGAATAGAAATGTTAAATTGACCTTTTCGGTCTCTTTTTACACTACTCAATAAAAAGGTAATAAAAGCGTATTTATTTGTTTAAGATTGTATTGTATGATTTATTTGACAAATGTAATTTTAATTAAGTCGTATTATTTATTGTTATGTTTTCAATATTTTTATAAAAATATTATTGTAAAATTATCTCTTTAAATTAAATATATCTATAAGATGACATGTTTTATAACGATGCTAATCTCATTCTTCCTGTAAGTCAAAAACTAATTGAGGATAACTCTAAAATTAATAAATCACTCTCTGAAATCAGTGCACGTTTATCCAAAATGGAAATATCTTTCAGCACATCTATACAAAGGCTTTGTCTGTTTTTTTTTTTTGTCTGTTTGGATTTATTTGAGAGTAGATTGCAGGCATGTGAAAGTGTCACTTCTCAATCTACAGAACTGTCCACACAAGTTAGATCCCTCGAGATCAAAATGGACGAAGTTGATCAACAAGCTAGACTGAATAACCTAGAGATTACTGGAATCCCTGAAAAAACACGAGAGGATTTGTCATTGCATTTTCACAACATAACTAATTTTCTGGGAATCGAAGTTTCAGCAAATGTCGTGATTCTTAAAATGAAAATTAACACAACCGACTAAAAATAAAAATTCACTACAAAAGTAAGTAATATTTTAACTGTTAATTCTATGTGTTAAAAAAATTAACAAATAACTTTTAACAAATAAATAAATTTAAAAATTAACGTCATGTCTAAAGTCGAGTGACGCACTAAGTTCTCTTTTACATTTAGCTCTTTTCTCTCCCACTTACCCAATTCAGACCCATCTTTGTCTAATATAACACAAAAGACAGCAGGTAGTAAATATGAAGGTCACACGACCAATTTCACGCTGGTAAAGTAACCATTTTAACATTTAAATTGGTTATTTTATTACATTTAAATAAGTTAATTTCTAATACTTAATTTGGTTTCAATTTGTTTAAAAATAGCTGTTTTCATGTATGATCAACTCCTGATGTGTTTTTATTAATTCCCAATGATCAGAGATTTAAAAAATGTTCCCATATTACAAATTTTGTTACTTAGTCAAATTTTCTCCTTTTCTACATTAATGGCAATAAGTCACTATTTATGGAAGATACATTTATGAATTATACCACTATAAAATCTACACAAAACCGACATTATTGTAAAATTATTGGTCACCCATACATTCATACATTTTTTTATACCCAAGAGGTTTGAACTTCGCTTAAATAATATTTTTGCATGTTTTTCAAAAATAAATTGATTTCCGATTTTTTTAAATAAAAACTGCAAAAGCTATTTATACTATTTACTTTTTATCTATCAGCACAGTTAGTGTATAATAATAAAACAACAAAAAACCAATAGAAATCATTCGTTTTTGGTCATAGTGTTCAAGACAGTAAAATAAGATAGAAAAAAGTCGACTTTACAAAAAATATATCAAAGGTACTACTTGTGATATATTATGTTTCGTATTTTTTTTTCAGAACGGCCATAAGTTGTACTATAACGGCTCGCGTACACCTAATCCGTTATCGGCCGAAGTTTGCTCGGGCGACGATGGCCGAACTCGGACGATTGAATCAAACACTGGTGGAACAAAGAGAGCGCGTACACCAACACGATTGCATCGTCCGATTACGCACGAAAAAAATCCGATCAACGGCTCGCTTACACCTAATCCGTCATCGGCCGAAGTTTGCTCGGGCAACGACGGCCGAACCCCGTCGATCGAATCAAACACTTGTAAAACAAAGAGATCGCGTACACCAACACGACCGCCATCGTCCGATGACAGACGAAAACGGCCGATCCGAACTTGTTGGGATTTCTCGCCAGACTGCCGGCGTCTACAGAGAAAATTAAGTGTATTTATAGTTTAATTTAATAATTCTGTATTAATTCTGTTTTTTTTCTGTCAGCGTTCTTATAACCTAAACGACTATGGATATTGAAAAATTAATTAGTTGTGTTTTTAGTAGACCAACCTTGTGGGATAAACATTCAAAAAATTACAATAATCGAGATGTTTCGAAACGGTTATGGGCTGAAGTTGCATCGGAAATGGATATAGCGATTCCAGACATTAAAAAAAAATGGACCAATTTAAGGGACCAATTCCGTAAAGAATATAACAAACGCAATGAACCAGGTAGATCCGGTGCTGCGGCGGATCACAAATTAACTTCGTGGATATATTACGAATCGTTACTGTTCTTGGCGAAACAAATCACACCGAAAACTTTAACCGGAAATGTGCCTGAACCTCCCAGCCAAGAAACTGAAGATATTGCGGAGTCCTCCTATTTTTCTAAGTATTCACCTGAATCACAGGCACAAACAGTACCGCAGCCTGGACTCTCACCTTTGTCGCAGCCCACACCCGCACCTTTATTGCAGCCTGGACCTTCATCTTTGTCGCAGCTAGGAGCTTCGAATTCAAGCCAAGCAGTATTCTCCACGTCACAACAACATACTAGACCACATACCAAACCTATTCGTGTACCTATAACGCAAGCTCATCGTTTTACATCCAATCAACCTGGAAGACTTATGAAAAAGAGAAATATTGATGTGGACCAAGAGTATTTAGAGATCGAAAAAAGAAAACTTCAATTATATGAGTCCAGGTCAGCAGATAAATCTGCAGATGATCCTGATCGTAACTTTTTGTTGAGTTTTCTTCCATACTTAATTAAAAGAAGTGCCACGAAATAGAAAAATCTTGGTTCAACGAAAATTGTTAGACGTGTTCATGGAAGAAGAAAATACCCAACTACAGTATTCTCCTGTAAGCCGTTACTCCGAAGAATTAAGTCGCCCCGATTCTGGAGACTTGTCATCGAATATGTCATTTACTCCATGCGTTCTCAATATTGAAGAGCCTTTGCCACTGATCATTAATCAAACGACTCCTTCACAATCATCAACATAATAATAATAATTTCTTTA